ATGGAGAATATATCTGTTGGACGCTACTGTTTTTAGCAAGGCTTTTGGAGAGCTCCTCGTGCACAGTCTCCTGAATGAAATGTCAGAAAAAACAGCTGACTGGCAGTAGCTACGTATCATTTGCACCAACAAACTTTGGCGTGTGTCGAAGATTGATAAGTTGAACAGCTGGGGTAACTTGAACTATTTCTGGCAGTGGGTTACGCATATCACCACAAAATTATCTAGCCACCCATGCCTACCACAATGACTCCAGTACAAGTGGGTGGAACTGAACTTTTTTCACCTGTAGGCAACAGATCTCATCGAAAGTCAAAGTCCAGGATTCACGAGCCAATTACTTTATCATTTGGAGTAGAATAACAAAAAGTGAAAAAAGCACGACTAATTTATGAAGCCATCTCACGAAGTCATCCCGTTGTGCGGATCCTGGTGTTAGTTTACAGAAATTGCGGCTCATATTCTCTGAATAGCTTAGGCATACTTTAACGGTATGCATCATCTTTGTCTGAAGCCCATCTGTTCCCTTATCAAAGTAGCCGCAAATACAAATAGAATGTCAGAGACGACTGTGCTTCANGTATGCTCTGCAGCCCGTTCTGTCGCCACGCACGGCAGTACGGAAAAGTAAAGATAAGCGAGGATGTAGTCAAAACGAACTCAGGTCCCGACAAGCCCCCGTAATGAAATGACTGATAAGTGTCAGTACATTCGTCCAGAAAAAATAATTTATTATTATTCTCCAAGCACCCTCATTTGCTGACCAATTCGATGTTAACAATGGACTCAAGTGAATTCCAGCCTAACCTATCGTTTGTGAGAGTAATTGCCGAATTTCGTACAATTTGGGTCCGAGCAAAACATACGATCAGGACCTGCACTTACCTGATGAGCCCAAATAAGGGCAAAATTAGACACAGGTTGTCAATAAGTTTTCAGTTACCTTATGCGTAGTTCTCTTCGAGGCAATTTCACTATAGTTTCCCGTTGAAGCTGTGAAATAGCACCTCTTAGACTGATTTTCCTCCACTGCACTGCAATCATAACCCTTCAGACCTGTAGATTTGGAGACGGCATTAGCGAGATTTTTACTGGACTTATCCTTTACAGCTTAATTGAGCTCAACGAACTGATGTTGCGTCAATGGGGCATCTGTCTGGTATAGCGTGGTGTTACAACGATCCACCGGGAGAAATACGACTGTCTGAATAAGCAACAATCCTTTTACTTCTTATACATGTGTCCTTCAACTGACTGATACCTGATGTAGAAGTCACCGACTCAAATCTCTCATGAAGTGAACACGATGATTCCGTTGACAGCGATGGACCGTGTGCTCCACACTAGTTCACAGGAACTGCAGGTCTCACAAAGGGCCACACTAACTGTCTCATTAATTTGGCACCTTTACTGAAATAAATCGCCGAATGCAGAATGCCTTTATTAGTCATGTGACTTTGGAGATATTGGATTTCTCCTAAAGCAGGAGGAAAATAAACTCCGCAGAACTGAAGATAAAAAGCCTGTTAGATTTCAAAATGCACTAAGCCACTGATCCAGCTTTATTGTTTGACCATCACTTCAATGAGTTTATGCCAAAAGCGCTGCTGATATTGGAACCGGTCATGTCGGTGAACTCTTTTTGGCTTTGGACAGGTACACAGCACTACTCGTTGGACAATTTCGAATTTTAAATGCAAGTGATAGATAATAAGACTGAGTTATAAATCACTCATCATTTTTTAATTGTTACTTATAGCAGCGCTCTAGTGAGAGCGCATTGCGTTTAGCAATTTGGACTAAATTTTAACAGGATCAAAATAATAGTTCCAAATAACCTAGATGGGGAGGGGGCTTTCCGTTTCGAGTTAATCACGACAGTGTAATAATGTCTGAAACCCTAGCCCATCTTCATCGGTTTTGAAAGTTACCTGGCTACAAATAAAACTTCAACGAAGTTCTGAAAGCCTGCGGGACGGCTCACCCTTCCATAAGGCAATAGTCGCCGTTGAGGAGGCCATCTTGACTCCATCTGGAGGGAACCATGTAATGACATCGCACTAATCGTGGCTTAGGAAGACATTTCTCCATGCGAAATAAATAAATGAATGAATCCAAACCTGGTATGCCATCAGCAGGCCCTTTCCTGGAAACCAGACTCGCGTTACGTGTTTCAACAAGGTAGGTCGAACAGTTTGCTAAAAAAAAACCCGACACAGATGATATGGTGCTGGAAGGCAAAGTGTAGCAACACAATCAGTAAAACGTATAGGATCACCATTTTATGGTTATCATTGCAACAGAACGCAATAAATCATGTGTTCTGTGCTACATATGACAGGTTTCAAGACCATGGCTGTGTGAAAAGGGTACATCATCATCATCATCATCATCATCATCATCATCATCATCATCATCATCATCATCATCATCATCATTGACAGAAACACCAGATGAGAACACTGTTGCTTCACTTCCGTCCAAGCCTTATGGTAGAAAGAATAGATAAATGGGGCACGGATGGGGACCTGGCATACGACATACATCCCAGGTGACTACAACTCCGATACAGTCTAGATAGAAAATGACAGCACGGACTCCAATGACATCAGTAAGCCACCATCTGGTTTATTGTCTACAGCCGTACAGCAGTACAATGTGCACTGTCTTCCGATATGCGCGTCCCTTAAGAACCAGTGATATTCTTTCTTAATGCCACAAGTGGCGCAAAGTGGCAAAGCAGTCCCGACCTTTGAGATTCGTGCGCGGACTCCGTCTGTCACACTGCCATGAGACCCAATAGAACTTCCGAAATACATATGGCATTCTATTAAGTCTACTCTTCAGAGACTTATGTCCTGCAGCACGACTCCGTAGTGTATAGGCTCGAAACCCATGCTGAAGGACTGGATGACCTTGCTCAGCTTTTTATGGTATTTCTGCGGCTTTCTTCTCCTCAAAAATGAGGTTCACGTTATCTGCACATTCCAAGTCGACAATGTTCTTCCTCGGACGGATCTGGACCCCGGTGATTTGGAGACTTTAAGTGTTCAACTCATCGTTTCATTAACAGTGAAATTAAACAAAAATGGAGAATAGAATATTTGGACGCTACTGTTTTTAGCAAGGCTTTTGGAGAGCTCCTCGTGCACAGTCTCCTGAATGAAATGTCAGAAAAAACAGCTGACTGGCAGTAGCTACGTATCATT